GTCCTTACCCACAGAGCCATCTCACAGGTTCTGTGACATAGTTTTAAATTTTGAAATAGGGTCTCACGAAATAGCTTGGGCTGGCCCTAAACTTGCACTCCTGTGGCCTCAGCCTCCCACGGGAGTGCAGCCACACCTGGCCTCCCGCGGGAGTGCAGCGCCACACCTGGCTTCCTGTGGACTTGACACTTGTTTCAAGGGTCCATAGGATTTGCCAGGCCAGCAGAGGGTAAGAGTTGGCTCTGGCCAGGTGCAATGGCAAAGGCCTGTGACCCTAGAACGTGGGAGATAATGGAGAAGGGACCAGAAGTGCAAGGAGTCCCAGGTCAGCCAAGGGTACGTATTGAGATCCCATCTCAGGACGGGAGGAACTGGGAGAGAGAGGGAGGGAGGGCGGGAGGGAGAGAGTATGATTGTTACTTTGAAGTTTGACATGGTAGTGGGTGTCTGTAATTCTAATACTCAGGAGGCTGAGGCAAGAGGATCATGATATTGAGGCCAGCGTGGGTTACATAGTGAGAACCTAGAGAGGAGGAGGAAGAACAAGAGGGAGCAGAAGCATTTGGAAGGCAGAGGCATGTGGATCTTTATGAGTTCAAGACCAGCCTGGTCTATACAGAGAGTTCCAGGACAGCTAAAGCTACATAGTGAGACCCTGTCTAGGAGAAGGGGAGGGGAAAGAGGAAGAGGAGAGGAGAAAAAGAAAAGGAGATCTCGCTGTGAGGGGCTGCCTTCCATTCCCTGCAGACAGCCCTAGGGTGGAGCATGGCACTAGTCACCTTGCTGGGTGCCCAGGCTGGTTTCCTCCTTTGTGCTGGCATTGCCCTCTGCAGGCCACCAGGTGGCGACGCTTCCCCCATGTCAGAGGACATCACCTCTCTCCTGAGGGGGTGGAGCTGGGTTCCTGAACCATTTTTTTTTTTTTTAATTTTGTAAATATATGTTATGGACATTTCACGCATGTACAAAGCATAAGAGCCCCTGGGAGCCAAGAACCAATCTACACCCTGCCTGTTGAGCACTCCAGCTGTCCAGGGCCCCGTATGCTCAGGATCTGGCCTCAGAGTCTTCAAGTTCATCAGGCTCCCTTTGGCAGCTCCCATCCTAAGCCTGGTCCTGCCTCCCAGCACGATTGCTCTGCTTTCAAGGCTGTGTATTGCCTATGTCTGAGCGGACTCCTCCAGTGCCCACTCATTTCCTCTTGCTCCACCTCCCAGGAACTAAGGAGCAGCCGACTGGCACTCTCTAGGTTCTCTTGCTATGGCATCCGAAAGCCAGGATGAATTCCAGCAGCCTCACAGCCTTCGCCCCCCCCCCC